AGGGACGCTGTTCCCGGTGTTGCTCGGGAGTCTGTTCTCACTTCCTTGTGATCGGAGAGCAGGAGATTCCCGTCTCGGCGCTTTCGTGTGTAGGTTCCCCGACCTGTTGTGCACCTTTTAACTTTTTACCTATATTTTCTATTCTACACTTAGGCCTTTTTACATATATTGCTTAACGTGCGGTATTCCTTGTGTTAATAAGCTAAAGCAATCCTAAGGTTAGTGTTCTACACGTCGGGCAAGATAAGATAACATCCTGCTGTGAGCTTCTGCCTTGACTTGTTTCGCTTCAGCAGGTTCTTAATTACCTTTTGGATCTTACTTTGTTTGCCCGGCTGGCGCATCCCTAAATTCCTTTCTTGGGGCCCATTCCTCATATCACTTCCTTCCTGGCCCTGGTTACTATCTCCTCTCTTTGAAGTGTCCATGTCAGTGTAGAGCAAGGACAAACAAACAAGTGACGCCAGCTGCGCCAGCTGCTTAGTAAGAAACTCCCAGTCTATCACTGATTAGTCTTTTTTCTTAGCTTCTTTGTTTCATCCCCCCCCCTTTCTAAGTACTAAGTAAATTCTTTTACTTAGAATATTTCTCTAAAGTTTTCTGAATATATTTGCCCTATACCTTTTACATATAGTTTTATTCAGGGTTTAATGAACAAACTCATATGCAATCTTTTACAGAGCCGAGTCCAGCAGAGCAGAGCCCAACAGAGCCAAGCAGGGCCGAGCTGAGCCCAAGGGTCTGTGCTGGCATTACACTGCAGCCCTCAGCCTGGCGAGCTGTGCCAGGAGCTCCGGGACACGGAAAGCCCAAGAGAAGGGTGATAGCCTGGTTCGAGGGCATTTGGGGTGAGTTTAGCCATTGCTTCCCAGGATTTTGCAGCTCTGCAGTGAGTGGCTTTGCACAAAAAGGCTCGATAAGGATAGACATAGGTATCCTGGGAAATATAAGACCATCAGCTCGACAGAGATTCCAGGAGTTTAAAGCTTTGTCCTGTGTTAGCCCTCTGAGGAGCACACAGTGTGTCACTGAAGTTGCTGAGCCACCCTGGCAGCATCACTGTAAATTACTGATGAGGTTACACTGTAAATTACTGATGAGGTTACACCAGGAATCCTTTGGGAATATAACTCAGCCTAAACCTTTCCAAACCTTGCACTCCCCATGGGAATGCTGACCAGGAGAAGGAGGATGGCAGTTGTATAAATTAAAGCTGAACATCACAAGTGGAAAGAATTCAAGCCTTGTCCCTGTGTTTAGGATTGGTTTAGCATGTTTTTGTCTGAGTTTGGTTGGTCTCAGTACCTCAAAAGAAATTTACACTCATAAACAGTTATTTGCACATACATGCACAATAATGCATCTTACAGATGCATTATTAATCTTACAGATTTTCTGTTACAAGTGGAAAATTTGTACTTGGAGCTATGGAGTGAAAAATATCAAGGCTAGGGTTCTGGTGGCACATTATGCTAAGCTTCTTGCTTATTTATTATTTAATACTGCACAAGGGCCATAAGTCAAACCAGTGTTTTATGAGCTTGAAGCACCTCTCAATTTCTGCCTGACAGATATAAAGCAGACTGGAAAACCAGACAGATAGCAGAGATGAGACCATAAAATGTAATGGGGGAGGTAGAGTAGTGATTCAGCTTTGGAACTGTTGAATCTCAGAGTGCTGCCACAGTGTGGATCATACAGCCAAACTCTCCTGTCCAAGCAGCTGACCAGTCCTTGTGCCACTGCTCCAGGAGCAGGAACGTGCCTCATGAGCAGAGCCAGGCAGGAGGAGTCTGTGTTGTCTGGCATTGGGTGAGTCCAGCTGTGCAGGAATATCTATGCTTCACCATCCTGTGCTGCTCACCCACCTTCTGTTCACAAAGAACAAGATAGAAAATGAAAGGTTTTCAATCCCCTCCTGGAGGACGGAAAAGCCGAGTGTGGATTTTGTACTCAGTTCTCGTTCCAAAAGTATCCTGTCTTTTTCTCCATGCAGTTCATACAAGAGCCAAGGGCTATGTGCTGCATATCCAAAGATAATTTTTGGTGGATGGATCATGTCTGGTGTCTTTATTGTGTAATATTTGCACTTGTCATTAGAGAAGTTTATGTTCTGATAACTGTGCATACTTAACACAGGATCTGTAATGCACGTGGCTCTCTGAGTTTACAGTTATCATCACTGAACAAATAACTCAGATGATGCTATCCAAACAAAAGATTCAAACACCCGTTTTCTTATCCCTCATATTAATATTTAAAACTTAAAAATTAAGCTGCAAGTTAACAACTCAAACACTCAGGAGAGATTGGAATAATATCTCTGCAGAAATCAGTTTGGATAGTGGAATTACCAGAACCTCCTCTCCTCCTCTGTGCTGGGGGACGTGAAGAAAGAGATGTTTTACACAGACATGAAAGGCAAACATCCTCAATAAACCTTAGAAGAGATGAACAAGCCCAAAGTGCTAGGCCTTGCAGTGGGAGCAAGCTTTCCTGGAATCACTCTCTCCTTGTGCTTAGCACACACAGGGTAATCTACTTCAGTAGAGAAAAAAGTAATTCCCTCTCCTAAATGTTTTGAGGCAGTTTTAGGCAGCAGATGTTACCAGTGCAAGTGATGACATTTTGATGATTATGCTGTTTTGATTTGACCCCAGGTACTGAGGATTTTTTGTGCCATTGAGACTCCATTTCTGTCCTAACATGGATGTAGTTCACTCGGCCTCCATAGACATCACTGTCCCTAGGAAGTCCTTCAAGAAAACGCCTAGTGCCCTTCTGGACAGCCTTGTGGAGAAACCTGAAAAAAGACATGCTGTCCCCAATCACCTGCTGGAATCAAGTAAGTTTCTGCTCTCTGATTGTTCTGGAGCAATCCTAGGAGATGCTTGTTTGGGTTTTTTTGGCAGCTCACAGGCAAACCTCCCATCCTGCTGCTCACATTGCAGCTTGCTGTGAGCCCAAATCATAGGAGAGTTAGTCAGGAAAGAAATAGTGGCTGTCCTGATCCTGGCTGACCCTAAAGTTTTGGGGTGGCTTGTTGAAGCCGTGATGCCAAGAGATAAACTGGTGGCAGGGTCATGGATCTGCTGCCGTAACTTTCCATTTAAAGATTCATGTTTACCTAACAGGAGAAATAATCTGTCCCCTTTTTTTCTCTATAATACACTGGGTATAACATAAATAGACTTAATCAATGTAAGTAGCAATCATCATTTGTGTTTCATCTGGTCTCCTTTTCTCCCTGTTTTATGATCTATAGAGACTTATTCAGAACTTCAGAGGAGTAAGGTTGTACAGGCTGAGCCTGCTGTGCTACACTATGGAGGGTATGAAGTTGGAAAACATCACCAACAGACACTGGTAAGTGCCAGAGCAGGGATCCCCTTGTTGCCTGTAAAAGGACAGCAGAATCTGAGGAGACTGCTTGTGGTTGTGAGGCCTTTGCTCTGTGGAGTGCTCTAAACAGCAGCACCAAAAATCAGTGGCCCTGAGGTCACCAAACAGATGAGTGCCATGCTGTGTGCATCCCCCTCCTGTACACTCCCTGTTTTGCTTTCTGCTTCCTGTGCCTGCAAGGAGTGTTACTGATATGTGATTTGCACATCATGAGTGAAGGATTCATGAATTCCATAAGAGACTTGTTTTCAAAGTGTACTTGGACTGTCACTGTGTCTGCAAACATGTTCACTGGTGGAAGAGTTTTGAAAGCACCTCTGGCCTTCTGCCAAGGACAGTTTATTCAGAGGAAGGAAACTCAGTGCATAGGTTTGATTACTATCTTTGTGATACGATTTGGGCATTTCCTTTTCTTCTCTCTGCTTTCCTTTTGTCTGCCTTCTTTATTCATGTGGTAAGTGTGTTGAGGCAGAGGTTGGGTGGTTATGGTGGACTAAATTCTCCAGCTATCATGAAAGTAAGCAAGATGCAGGAACTGTCACCATCCAAAGGTTTGTTGCTTTGTGATCCAAACCAAAACCATGGAGTATTACGTAACTCCTGTTGCTTCAGACTTCTGTAAAAGTGGTCAATAAATTGTTTCACTTTTTTGTTGCTTTTCCACATAAGCAGAACAGGAACAGGATTTGATTCGGCACTAGCATCTGTTTCAGCAAGACTAACTATTAATTCTTGGTAAGGAATTGTGACTTGGTTCCAAAGAATAAAAATGCATAATATTTGCCTAATTTTCTTCTAAATTCAGGGCATATTCAGAATTATTTCTACTAAAGTAAAAAGGATGACTTCTTTGCTATGGAAGGACTTGCAAAAAGTATAGTTGGCATTCTTATGACCTTTTATATTGTAAAGAGTCTTGTGGTTTTGGTTTTCTTTTGTTCTACAGAAGCTGATAAACATCTCTGCCAATGTAATAAACCTTCACATAATACCACCCCAGACAGAGTATTTTCAGATCAAGTACAACAAAACAGTAAGTGTCAGAAAGGCTTCACCCTGCTCTTTGCATGCAGCACAGGTTTTGTGCCATATTTTACATGCCTCTGGTCTTGTTTTGGGTCATTTTCCAGCATCAGCTTGTCCCTGGTTTGTCATATGTGGTTACTGTTGATTTTTATCCTGACGAGTGGCGATATTACTACGACTGCATCCGAATTCACTGTGAGGTGAGGATTTATCACACAATATAGTTAAAGCTCTAATGGAATTAAAGAGCTATGAGCCTTACCTTGAGCAACCTGGTCGGGTGAGAGATGTCCCTGCCCAAAACAAGGGGGGTTGGGACTAGATGGTCTTTAAGGTCCCTTCAACCCTTCACATTCTATGATTCTATGATTTAGTCATTGTAAGGAATAAATATTTGCAACTTTTTTTTTCAGGGAGATGATACCTTAGCTGTTCCTGTACATGCTTACCCTGCTGTGAATGTTGTAGAATTTCCATCATCTATAAATCTTTCTGGTGTACCAATTGGTCAGAGGTGAGTTAAGGATAGACATTTGTCCACATTTTGTGAGAAATGCCCAAAACCAGAAAAATCTTGTTTTCCTTTATTTGTACAACTTAATATCTTGGAAGCTTCAAGGAGTTAATCTGCCATCTGGACTGCAAAATAATTCTGGACATGAACTGTTTCAGGTGCTCATCAACAGTAAAGTAAATGCTGTGCTTATATGTGTTTAATGAATATATAAAGATAATAGAGATGGAACTGAGTTTTCAGTTAGTCTAATGTGGTAACGTTAGTCTAACTCCACTCATTGTATGGTGAAACAGAATGGCTATTATTTGTAATCTGTGTGCTCATTTTAGGATTAGGTCCTAAGTGAATGGATCTTCCTTTCAAGATGAAAGGTTCTGAAAATGAAGGTGTGGTAGGGTGGAAGTGCTGGCAAATACCTAATCTCAGTCCAAAGATTTATCAGTCATTAGATTTGCTACTTCTATTTGAAAATATTTAAAGTGATCTTCTGATGTGAAGCTCTGAATGGCACAGACTGCTTGACTCTGTTGCGTGGATGTAACACTGACTGTTCTCCAAAAGTAATTGGTAACAGTTGTTAATTGGAACTGGGAAGGGGAAAAGAAGAAGGCAGATCCTGTTCATTAGGGTCTAGTTCTGCAGTATATTGGCTTTATTGCTTGTAATTATGGTGATTTTTTTGTTAATGTAAAGATCTGAGTGAATTCTAGGAACGGAAGGTCTTAGCAGGTCTTAGCCTGTAAGCTGAAAGCAACTCATGAATCTCACTGAAGCACAGAACTATGAAAAGACAAGGCACATACAAGGAACATACGAAGTTGTGCAGTAAAAATGAGTCCAGCATTGCAGAATGAACATTTGTGTGTTTGTTTGTTTGTTTTTCTAATCCTCTTTAATCTGTTAATCTCTAGTGTATCCAGCAGAAGTAATTTTACAGCTTTCTTACAGGACTGAACACAACTCCTGACTTTCTGGGTACCTCTAGGCATGATGTGGTTCTGGTTATTTGCTCCATTTTAGTGCCGAAGTACACAGAATTTTCACATTTTCAGAATACAGATATTAGAGTACAAAATACAGTTTTAAATAACGGGAATTTTCTTTC